CACAGCTGTCTGCCCATCTCCCTTTCCCATCTGCTAACTTTTTTGGGACATGTACATTTTGCAGAGATGGAAGGATAGGCCCATGGAGTTGCTATTTAATGAGATGAGGAAGGCTGCAGGAAGAACAGGTGTAAGGGGAGAAGCAAGAACTCACTGATTCCCTGCCAGGTCTGGAGTACCTATGAGGCATCCCAGTGGTGATATCAGTGAGAGTCAAATGGTGAGTCTGGAGCTCAGGTGAAGCCAGGGCTGAGGGCATGGACTTGGGGCTCATTGGCATAAAATGGTCTACTCACCATGGAACTGGATGACCTCCCCAAGGGAAAGAGAATAGAGAAGGCCAAGAAGGACCAGAAGCAATTCAACCTTTGCTGAAAGACCAGCAAAAGAGACCGAGCCAGACAGGCCTGAGAGGAAGCAGACCCAGAAGTAATCCCTGTCATGGCTGTTGCCTGGTGGTCTTCAGGCCACTTTATACATTGGCTCATGTCCTCAGGGAACAGACCAGAAAGAACATAGATTGACTCAGGATCCCAACACCATCCCTTCCCAGGTGTGTGACATTGGGCAATTTACTCTGCCCCTCTGAACCACATTTCCTCACTCTGCGTCCAGAAGATAAAACCTGTGAACACCTAGTAGCCACACCATAAATGTCAGTTCCCCTTCCCTCCCTACTCTTCCTAAAATAAAACCACCGTGGCATGCATCATCTCAGAAGGAAGTCATACAGCACTTGAGATATGTCTTTAAATACATTATCTTACACTTGCCCACACCAAATCTCATCTGTCACTTTTCTGCCCACTCGTACACACCCTTGTGGGATTCTGTAGCGTATCCCCATTGGCTTGACATTTCATTCCCTCAAAAAACTTAGTGCCATTTGCACATCCCCAGCTTTCACTGCGTAACTCCCTTTTCCAGATGATTTATTAACATTTCAAATGAGGCGGCCTCATCCTAACCACGGGACACTTCTGTTGTTCATTCTCCACCCAGATAAGTGCCCAGCAAGTTCTCCAAACTTCTACCCCTTCCTTACCCAGGCACAGATCCGCTGAGATGCCCTCCCGCCATGCCCCTGAGCCCATCGTAACCCTGAAGGAATCTGCCAGAAGGCTTCACTATCCGCTGAATTCCCCAAGGAATCTCTGTGCTCCAGGGCTTAGGGGTCCCGCCCTTTGTTAGAGATGCATCCTGCTCTACTTGCACAGTCAGGAGGTGAAACCCATTAGCCCAGGGGTCCTGAGTTCCTTCTAAGATTACTCATTGGGTGGGTGTTGTATTCCCACTTGATTCTGCTCATCCTCTGTGGACGGCACACCATCTCCCCTCAGACCTTACAATTTCAGTTATACCAGCCCCACTGCCACGGCCCACTGCCCACACCTGCATCTTTGACTTGAGGGCCTTCTAGACTTACACATTCTGCCCAGGAAAGTACATAGGCCAGAAGGGCCAAGAAATTTATGCCCCTGGAGCAGCCCTCAAACAATGACTGATGGGCACTCGCCTTCCAGCACCCTCGCCCCGCAGGAGGGCGGGGTAGCACTGATGTGAATGTCTGCACCGCCTCTGAGTTCCCCAGTGGGGCTGAGTTCCAGCTGCCCCTGTTGTAACTAGCTTAATCACACATTTATTAGCTGGGTTCTTTTTCTCTTTTCACTTCCCCTACTCCCCCCTCCCAGGTTTTCAAAGTCCACCTCCCAAATCAACTATGTGCCCTTGAATCTTTGTCTCAGGATCTCCTTCCGGGGCACTTAAACCAAGACCCTTGGCTGGTCAGCCCATGATAACCAAGTGACCTTGAGCCACAGCTTTCCTGATTTGCCCTGTGTTCTTCCAGGGCTTAAAGTCCAGACATTGGGTGTACTCTACCTCAAGAGTTCTCTCCAACTCTAGGGAGCAGCCTGGCCTTGTCCAAGACCTCAGGGGCACTGGGCCAGAGAATTCTCCTCCGTGAGAGGGCATTTCTGAGCCTTGCTTTCGATGTTGGAGGAGTTTATCTTGTCACTAGCTGCATTGTCTGCTGATTTATCTCTGTCCAGGGGAGTGGGGCCCAGCTGTAGACAGCAAACATATTGAGTAAATTTCTAATGAACTGATTACTCAGCTTCGCATTTTAACTGCAGCATTAAGCATCCTCTCACCCTCATAAACATGTTGAACTACTGAAGGGATTATGGCTTCCAGGCTGGCCACTCTGTCACTGGGAAAAATTAATCTCGAGATTTAATCAAAGTCAAAACCACAAACTGCAGTAGGGAAGGGGCTTTTTCTCTCTGTGATGCCCAGGAGAGGGTGGGACATTCATAGATTTCCGCGCTGACTTGGGAGCTACTTTGAGATGTCATCTTGTCCATCCTTCTATGTCTGGGTGTGCACAGACACATTGGTCTGATAGTTGAACATTTTATAGACATGACCTGCCTGAAAAAAATACCCCTTTTGTAGCTAGAGTAGTAAACCGAAGAGGAAGTAGGTTAATGATTTTTCTTTCTTACACAAGGTTGGAGTGTGATGACAAACATGAATGCAGAATTCTGTGAGTGCTCCACTTTGACCCTCAAATCCTTTTTTGGGGTCTCTTATAGTAGTCAAGGCTACGTTTGAACTCTCATTGCATCTTCTCGGAACTTTGTTATCTCTGTTGAACCCCATCAGCCTCTGTCTGATCAGGTTGAGGAGCAAGTGTGGATGGCAGAGCCCACCTGGGCAACTCTCACCTGGACATACTCTTCAATGTACGAGAGCCAGAGGGGCCTGCGAGGACTGCATCCCTCTGAGGGAAGGATCGGATATGGCATTTCGTGGCTCTGAGCTCATGGACTTAGCTCGGAGATGTTCCCGTACAGGCCTGGATGATGGGTGGTCAGCAGCTGAGAACGATGGTCTGATATCTAATTCCTGAGGAATAGATCCCAGGGGTTAGAGTGGAGGAGCATGTGTGGCTCCAGGGAGCCAAGACCCTTGCCCCTCCAAGTATGCTCTTAGTGGGATCAGAGTCCAAGGAGCACAGAAGTACACCATCTAGGGCCCATCAGCCTCTCTGAACCAGGATCTGCTCTTTTCTGGGGTCCCCTGGGTGATTTGTGTGCACATTACAGTGAGGGAGGCACCGGACTAGCCCTCTGGAGAAGCTGGCAGGAGGGATTGCTTTGGAGCTCAGTGGGTGGGGGCAGGATCCACTGGGGAGCCCTTGCTCCTTAGTTTGGGCCTGGATTAGACAGCTGAAAACTAGAGACTAGCCACTGATCACACAGCTTGGCAGAGGCCTCCAAAATGAGAGTGCTCAGGTGACCCTGTCTCCTGGATCAGCGCCACACTCCATCCTTGTCAGGGCCCACTGCCTGCTTTCTCATAAATCCTTCCTTCTGGAATGAAATTATTTCCTTTATGATGAGGAGGCAGTTGGTACTGTCTCATTGCTAAGCAGAGGTGGCAAGAGAGGCATAGCTAGGTCCCGACACTCTGGAGCTGGCACAGGTACACAGAAAGCCCCTCAAGATCCTGTTGGTAAAGGTTTTGCCAGAGGAGATAGCAAATTCTGCCTGCTGTGCATGCTAAGACAGCCCGCACTCCTGGCAGGGAGAGGGGACAGAGGCGGCTATTTTCTCGGAGCCAAGAATGCTGACAGGCTCAAGAGGGAGGATGATGTGGCAGGCAGGAGACTGTGTGTGACCTTGAACTTAGAACCAAGGATGCTTTCAGGGATTCAGATGCTCCTCGGGGTGATTTGGGATATAATGTCAGAACCTGTCTCAAAGCCTAACTGAGACTTGAGGGTAAAGGGAGGGAAGGAAGTCCTGCTTCCGTCTGGAAGCTGCCTCGTAATCTTCCTTCCTCCCTCTCATACCCACATCATGGAATCACTGCTCCTCATTTCCTGCCACTTCTGAGCCTTGGTTTCCCTAGAGATAAAATGGGGACAGCAAGAGTAAGTTCGGCATAGGTGTGAAGTTATAATTAGATGGGCTGATTTGTGAAAAACTCCTCAAATAGAGGCTGGCACACAATAAGTGCTCAATAAATGGATCCGTTGCCATTGTTGTTCTTGTACCCTCATTGGCTTCCCATCAGAGGTCAAGGCTGTCTCTTCTGCAGATCAAGCACCTCCCACCTCACCTTCTCCAAGAAGTTATGTGACCCCGAGAAGCATGGGTGAACCCCAAGGTGGAAGCCATTAGGGTGCCACCAACTCTGCCAGTGCAATAGTGGGAAAGTCCAGGAAGCAGACAGAGCAGGGAGGGCAAAGAAACCCAGGTTCAAGGGGAGAGAAGATGGTAGGAGAAGGGAGGATGGATATGAAAAGCAGAGAGATGAGAAATGGCATCACTCTAACATCTACAGTGTAGCTGGTATTGACACGCGTTTTCTATTTTATGCCCCACAGCAACCCTTAAAGTAAGTGTTAGGCACCCATTTTGTGGATGAGGAAAGTGAGGTCTGAGAGGTAAAATAACTTGCCAGAGTCAGGCAGCGAGTAAGTGGCTGATGAATTGTCACAGACTCTTTCTTCTCAACCACCCTGGTGCCTTCTGGGCTTTGGCGGAGGAAGTGAGAGCTCTAAGAACAGGGGAGAGGCCAAGGGAACAGAGGGACAGTGGCTGCAGCAGAGACAGGGAGCTGGCAGTGGAGTGGGCACAGCCCCTTAGGCGCCCTAATCATGTCCGGGAGTCCTTGGCAGGCCTGCACCACCCGGGAGCTCATTACCGTCACTTATCTGCCTGTACTCTGAGTTCCTCTGAAGTCCTCCTCCGCCCCAGCCTGAGCCATCCCCAGGGAGCTGGCCTGGCCTGGCCAGGAGGGGGAGGCGGGGCCCAGGGTGGAGCTGAGATGGGCAGGGCGAGGGCGGGGGTGTGCAGAAGGAGGGCGCAGTGGGGGAGGCTGCTGAGGCCGTGAAGGGAGCTGAGCGCTGACTTCAGAGAAGCTAGCAGGTGTTGCCATGGCAACCACAGACTAGGGACATCTTTGAAAAAGAAAAAAAGAAAAAGAAATAAAAGTTTGGCAGTTTTATTTGCTGTCTTTGTACCCCTTGCCAGAAGGAAAAGTAGAGATCTTGGGGAGTGCTGGAGATGGCTGGGCAGGCAGGTGGGGGTATCAGGGCCAGCATTCCCCCAAGGGGAGGATGTGGTTTCACCCCTGAGGATGGTGGAGGCGCCTCCATGTGGTCCCCAGGGGCCTTCAGAACTTGGCATCTTCTCCTGACTCTGGTCCATCCATCTGTGTTCCAAGACCTCTTTTGAGAACCTGGGACCTCTATGGGACTTGTCATCCGGGTCTGGTTCTATTCAGGTCCTGCCAAGTGACCAGCAGAGAAGCCCTCTTTAGACTTGGGCCCACCGGGAGGAGTGAGTTTCAGAAGCCAAGGTTTCCCATGTCCCATCCTCCCCACCCCTGCCTGACAGTAGCACCTTTTCTACATGGCAACTGACACTAACACAAAGGGCAAAGGGATACAAGTGCCAGCCCCCATGTCATACTGCCTGGCTGCAGAACCCAGCATCCCTTCTAGCTGCTTGGGCAAGCTAGGTAACTGCTCTGTGCCTCCGTTGCCCCATTGTGAAATGAGCACAATAGCTAGATCCAGCTCACTCCGTTGCTGGAAGGATTAGATGAGTGAACATATGTAAAACACTTAGAACAGCATCATTGCTTGGTCTGGCCTGGTGCTGTAGCATTTCAGCAATCTTCCACTTTAGGGCTGTGAAACTGAGGCTTTGGATGACAGGATTGTGGGACTGAGTCTTCACCCTTCATCTCCTGGACCCAGGCACAGGAACCTCTCAGATCTGAACACCACCCTTCGGCTACCCTAACCTCACCCAGGGAGCCTTCAGCACAGTCACTGGGCAACTGGAAGGGACAGGTGAGCCCTATCCTTAGATTTGCCTTTGTGGACTCTTCCCTGGGCTTACATGTACACCAGACTCCCGGGGTCTCAGTTTCTCAAAGGTGCTTTCCATCCCCATCAAAAAAAATAAGCAAATTCAAAGCAAACTGATTTTGATCCCCAAGAGAGGATCTATCGGTATTGATGAAACTCTGAACCAGGGACCGCTTTTCAGTAAATGCTTTTCTTTTCTTTTCTTTCCTTTTTTTTTTTTTTTTTTTTTTTTTTTTGAGACAGAGTCTTTTTCTGTTGCCCAGGCTGGAGGGTAGTGGCACAATCTCGGTTCACTGCAAACTCTGCGTCCTGGGTTCAAGTGATTCTCCTGCCTCAGCCTCCTGAGTAGCTGAGATTACAGGTATGTGCCACCACACCTGGCTAATTTTGTATTTTTTGTAGAGATGAGGTTTTACCATGTTGATCAGGCTGGTCTCGAATTCCTGACCTCAGGTGATCCTGCAGCCTCGGCCTCCCAAAATGCTGGGATTATAGGCATGAGACACTGCACCCAGCCCAATAAATGCTTTTCTTCCTTCAAAACTAAAGCCCTCAGAAGATTTATGTTGCCGAACAGACCCAGATGCTTGTCAGGGGCCCATCAGCAATTGGTGACTCCCTCAAATTAGCATGGCACTTGCAATTAATATATAAGCATTCTAGAAAGATTCTCTGTGGATGTTTAGTCCAGATTTTTCTAAGCCTCTTCCCTCCAGACATAGAGGTGACATTATTTTAGACTCCATCTTAGCTACTATGAATTTCAGAATCATTAGGTTTTGCAGTTAAGTGCCCAGTCAGCAGTCTGATATTCCTTTAAGTCACAAATAATAGCTACCATTTAATGAGTGCTTGTATTCCACCTGGTCCCATATGAGACATGGTGACATGTGACATCGATAAGTCCTAATCATAACCCTCCCTTCAGGCTAGGGATTTATTCTTATTTCTAGGGGAGGCATGTGGGACCTGGAGAAATAAGAGACTCATTTAAAGCCACACAGCAAGCAGGGCAAGGAGTCAGGATTCAAATCTAACACTGCCCAACTCCAAAGCATAATCCCTGATGTACGTGGTGGTTAAGAGTCTGAACTCGCCTAGGTACAGTGGCTCATACCTGTAATCCCAGCACTTTGGGAGGCCGAAGCAGGAGGATTGCTTGAACCCAGGAGGTTGTGACCAGCCTGGGCAAGATAGTGAGACCCCCATCTCTACAAAAATTTTTAAAATAGCCAGTGTTGTGGCACATGCTCTTAGTCCCAGCTGCTTCAGAGGCTGAGGTGGGAGGATCACCTGAGCCCAGGGAGGTTGAAGCTGCAGTGAGCCATGATAGTGCCAGTGCCCTCCAGTCTGGGTGAAGGAGCAAAACCCCATCTCAAAAAAGAAAAGAAAAGAAAGAAAAAAGAAAAAGAGCCTGAACTGAACTCCTGGCCAGACAAGTGGAACCAAATCCCAGCTTCATCAATATCTAGCCATGTAAATGGAGCCATCTGGCCTCCATTTCCTCATCTGAGAAACAGGGATAATAATACTCACCCAGTGCTGTGTAAAGAGTCAATAAGTTAATATATGCAAAGTTCTTAGAAGAAAGCCTGGTATACAGCAAGCATTAAATCAGTGTTTACTTTTATCCTTTCTACTAGGCCGTGAGGATTTCGTGTAAAGACATGGAAAGGGGAAGTAGATTCGTGTCTGCATTCAAACATCAATTCTCAGGAATCCTTGACATTTTCCTAGAAGTAGGCCTTAGAAAAAATTAACAGGCTTTAAGCCAAAATTATTTTTTCCAAACTTATTTCACAGCAGCACAGATTCTTAGGGCTGGCAGGGCCTTGTGTGCTGGAGAGAAGGAGGAATGTGGCCCAGGCTCCACCCTCGCATGGTCTTCAAATCCCCATGGAGCCTCGTAGTTGGGCTCTGTGGTGATGACGAGGAACCAGTGGACCCGAGCCCCAGGTCAGTCCTGCCACGAACTTGACTGGATTCCTGCTGAGTCTCAGCTTATCTAGAAGTTGAGGATCTTCCTTCATGTTGTTTTAGCAAAACACACTCAGGAGTATGCTTCTCCCAGGAAAAGGGATCACAACGGGAAAGAGACAGGAGGGAGGCTCCTAGAAATTTTAGGAAGTGAGACCTAGAAGGGATCTTAGAAAGTTACTTAGTGGTCACTTAGCAGAAGTAGCTTAGCAGCCCCCCATTTTACTGATAAGGAAACTGAGGCCCCAGTGAGAGAAAGAGACTTGTCTAGTGTCAGAGCTGGCACTAAAACCCTTGTGGCTTGTCTTGTAGGCCCAGTGCCCATGGCACTGCAGCCACTGTCAGCTCAGGAGTGGGAAGCCCTCTTCTGAGCGGTGGTTGCTATGACTCGGCTGGAGGACAGGGAATCTCCCCAAGTGTGCTTTGGCAAGAGGTTGGGAGAGACCTCGCTTCTATTAATTGTGATGAAGATGATGGTGAGAGCTGTAATTTATTGACTGCTGGGTACCAAACATTCTAAGAGCTTAATATTCACTTAAACTTCTGAGGTAGGAACCATTATCATCTCCCTTTGCAATGAGAAAACTGAGGCACAGAGAAGTGAAGCAAATGCCTAAGGCTTTCTATCTGGTATGTGTGGGAGCTTGGTTTTAAGCCAGACAAAATTTCAGAACCTGCGCCTCAACTATTTGCCTATACCGACTCCTCGGAGTATAATTTTGTACATTTCCAGTCCCTAGAAGCCCAGAGAAAGGAGTGGTGCTAGATTCAATTCAGTTTGACTTCTTTAGTTTATTTGTTGAAACCTACCATGTGATCAGCTGGATAGTCAAAACCACCAGCTGGTTCCAGATTAAATGTATCAATAGAAAATGCATTTCAGAATGTGGCCTCACACTCTACACGTATGTGCATGTGTGAACACACACACACACGCACACGCACCACATATGCATATCGGAAAGGACCGAGAGCATGGTCAGACAGGACGGAAACCAAATTCAGGACGCCAGAGTACCTAGCTCAAGCCCTGGTTCAGCTACTGAGGTACTCAGCAGGTTAATTCGCCTGCTCCGTGAGGGGTGGGCTCTCTACACCATTCACCCTTGGATCTCCAGTTGCTCTCACTCCATCAGTGAATGGATTATTTCCTCACCGCTGCTTTCCAGCTGTGTAACTGTGGGCAAGTTGCTCAACCTCACTGTTCCTCAGTTTCCCCCATGTGTATAATAAGGATACTAATTGTACTTACTCACGGGGCTATTGCAAGGATTAAATGAACGTATAAGGGACTTAGAGCTTGGCACAGAGTAAATATGTACAAATGTTAACCGTGGTGGTAGTGATAATAGTGGCAATTAATATTATTAGTGCTTTTTGTCAATTTGTAATTTGTAAAATGGGCCAATAATAGCATTGGTCTCCTAGGGTTATTCTGAGGACCAAATAAGATGATAGCACAAAGTATGGGCTCAGACCCCAACTCAGGGGTGGAGACAGGAAGAGGAAGCATGTACAGGGCAGCAGGGCACACAGCCATTCCATCTGAGAGGAAGAGGATGGCAGCAGGGGTGCGCCCTGGCATAGCAGGGACAGGACATTACATACCCTGGAGCCGGCTTATCCCTGTGGCTTCCCTCCCTGATGCTGCCACTTTGCACATGTGATTCAATCAACTGTCTCTTTAATTATGACACGGAGGAGAAGCCACAAACAGGTTTACCATATTCACGGTTTGCTGCGTCTGTGTTACATCCGGTGTGCATGTAAACAACATCTTGTGGCATTGTCTGATAAATTAAACATCTCTCCTTCCTGGGCTTGGAGAGGAGCGTCAGGTCTCTAAAGAGGGGCACGGATGACTCACCACCATGGCGCTAAAGAGCTTTGCCTGCAGCTCTTTCAGCAAAATGCTCTGGAAGGAGCAGGGAGGGGAGAGCGCGCCTCCAGCTGGGGTCTCTTTCCTAGGAGGAGACAACCAGGAGAGGATGTGCCCAAAGCTGGCTGCTTAGCTGAGGCCACCAGGGAGTTGTTACTGAGGGAAATGGAGCTAACTCTTGCCTGTTCCTGCAGTGCCTGCTGGGAAGGCCAGTGATGTGCTGGGAAAACGTGCACTCAGTGCCATTCTGGAGCCTCATTTGACCCCTGCCCCAGCCCACCACCAAATCTTTATTGAAATAACCTGATTTATAACTCATTGTGGCCATCCACTGGCTGTGTGACCTTGTGAAAGGCACCTAACCTCTCTGGGTTTTGGTTTTCTCATGGGACCACAGACAACGTAGATAACCTTGTTGAAGGCAGGCAGCCAGGTCCCACCATCCCTTGAGATCCCCATCAGTTCTAGGAGCCATGACCTCTTCCCAACCAGCCTTCGAGGAGAGCCCTTGACTCGGGAGATGAGCCAAAACTAAAACATCATGAGAACAAAAGGCAGACACTTTTAGTTAGAAAACCACCACCAACATGAGTTACTTCCACCCCTCTGATCATCAGACTCACCTGAAGAGCCTTTTAAAAAATACCCAAAATACTCACTCTGGGTCCCCTTCCCAGAAATCCCGATGTAATTGATCTGCGGGAAGCCAGACACTGAATTTTGTAAAAGCTCCTTGTAAGTCTAATGCGTGGTTGGGATTGGAGACTGCTGACCTAAATAATCCATTTCCTGATCATCAAGAGTCGAAGGTGAGTTTAATTAAAGGAGAAGGTGGGAAGAGACTCTGGGGAACTAGGTGTCTAGGCTACTTTGTAGCAGGCCTGAGAAATTCCTTGGGGTCCAGCCCAGGCAGGCTGGAAATAGGATGCCACTCCTGATTCTGCTTGCCAGTGAGTGTGACCTGGACTGGGACAGAAGATGTCCATCGGGACACCAACATCTGAGGCCTGTCCTGGGCTGTGGGTCAGGCCTGCTCTCAGGATTGCCCCAGTGTGGTGGCGAAACGGCCAAGGAAAGTGATGATGAGAGGAAGGCATTGTATCCTCTTCCCATGGAGCCTGTGCTGGGAACTAAGGGGAGCGGGCAAGTAGAGAGATGAACTCTGCCTGGAAAGTTATAAAGAAGGGCTTCTAGAGACCAGGAGTGTTGAGCCGAGGCTTTGAAGGGTGTGTACAAGTTTGCCAGGTGGAAAGCAGGGAATGGGAAAGAGCAAGTTTGACCTAGGGGCTACCCCTGCTAACTCAGCACCTATGGGGTTCCCCATGTGCCCCGTTCTGCACCAGGCTTTGCTGGAAGTACAAGTGGGTGGTGTTGCATACACACAGGAGAACGTGGGCCCTGCCTTTCTTACAGTGAGGCTGGGGAGACACTGGTTCAAAGAGAATTCAAGATGGTTCCATACAAAGAGAATTTCTAGTGGCCGTTCCTAATACATCTGTGTTATCAAAGAAGGTTTCTTGGAGGAGATAAGTCTGGAGGAACATAGAGGCAGACAGGAGGCAGGCACCATCCCAGAGAACTTCAGTAAATGTGGGGAGGGGAAAAAGGCCTACATACTTTATAATGTAGGCCCCAAGTGTGGGTGGGGCACAGAAGGCCCAGTCTGACTAAGTCACAGGGAGGTGGCATGGGCTGAACGGCATCAGGCCAGGCTGGGGCCCAGCAGGAAGGGGCTTCCTAGACCATGCTGGGCCCATCAGACACAATCTAGCCTGGACTACATTCATCCTTATACCAATGCAACCATAACATACAGCTTTTAATATATATTTTACGGAGGAAAGAAACTACAGGAAAGTCACACCACCACTCTAGGGCAAAACACTTGGGTGGGATTCTAAATCCCTAGATACTGTTTCAGGCCCTGCCTTTAATTAGCTGTGCATCCTTGGGCAATTCACCCATCCTCTTTGAAGCTTAGTTTGCCCTTCTGTAACCTGGGAAGGGTAGACCCATCTCACAGGCAGCACATCCCAGGAGCACCGCTGACCTGGACTACATCAAGCATGGTGCCCCTGGAATTGTACAACAAGGTGGAATGGCCAAGAGTGAGAGGTCGACAGAGTAGGAAACATGAAATTGCTTTAAAAGCAGCTGTGAGAAGAGCTTAGTTTTAGGGGAAGGGATCAGGGCTCCCTTCCTCAGCCTCATCATCTCTATTCCATGTACTTCATAACGTATCTTTCCACTGAAACAAAAACAACTTCTCAGTTTCCAGTACTGATGGCACAACCTATAGAAGTTTTCTGTGTACCCCTTGAGCACACATCTCATGACACCCCACCAGCCCCTGAGGCCTGGGACCTCGTTTTGCCCTCCCCACACCTTCCTCGCCTGCACACAGCTTAGCATCATACAGACCATGCTTGTCTCTAATACAGAGTGGAATCCCTCCCAGGCCATCCCCCAAGTCCCTCCTTTTCCATTTTTCCTCCAGGGGCCCTACTGGGCTCACATCCTTGTCTCTCTTCCCTGCGATGCTCTCAAGGTCTGGCTGCCATCTCCAAGCAGAACCGCTACATCGATTGTCCTTTGTTGCACTTTAGTTGGTCAAGCACATAGGCTCAGTGCTAGTGCCCAGCCTGCAGCTGGCTTGCCATGGAGCAAGGGTCTCCTGCCCCATCCCAGAGAATTTGGGGCCATACTGACCCCTGGAGGCTCCTCCTGCACATATGGGGTACACTGTGGCTGCTTGCCCATGAAGCCCCAGTCTCCAACAACCGTGAGAGTGAGTGTGGCTGGGGCTGTCTCTTCAGGACCAGCCTTGGGATGGTTGAGGTCATTGTCCTTGAAGACCCAGAAGAGCACAGGGTCTTCTAGCATCATTTTCTTGTTTTAAGAAACAGAAGGTGGAACCAAAAGAGTATTTGTGATGGAGTAGTGACCTCCAAGTGATAATTTCACTTGGAACCTTAGAATATGACCTTATTTGGAATAAGGATCTCAAAATGAAATCATTATGGGCCGGGCACAGTGGCTCACAACTGTAATCCCAGCACTTTGGGAGGCTGAGGCGGGAGGATTGCTTGGGGTCAGGAGTTCAAAACCAAACTGGCCAACATGGTGAAACCTCGTCTCTACTGAAAATACAAAAATTAGTCAGGTGTGGTGGTACACCCCTGTGATCCCAGCTACTTGGGAGGCTGAGGTAGGAGAATCGCTTGAACTCGGGAGGCGGAGGTTGCAGATTGCAGTGAGCCGAGATCACGCCACCGCACTCCAGCCTGGGTGACAGAGTAAGACTCCATCTCAAAAAAAAAAAAAAAAAAAAAAAATTGTGGATTAAAGTAGGCCCTAAATCCAATGCTAGTGTCCTTATAACAGACAAAAAAAGGAGAAGAGACAGGCACAGAAAAGACAGCCATGTAAAGACAGAGGCAGAGGCTGAAGTGATCCAGCTATAGCCAAGGAGCACCCAGGATTTAAGGGAGCCTCTAGAAGCTGGAAGAGGCAAGGAAGCAATCTTCTCTAGAGCCTCCTGAGAGAACATGGCCCTGATGACACCTTCATTTCAGAATTCTGGCTTCCAGACTATGAGAGGGTAAGTCTCTGTTGTTTTAATCCACTCAGTGTGTGGCCATTTGTTATGGAAGCACCAGGAAACAAATACACAAGGCTCTTGACTTACCTGAGAAGGTGCCCAGGTTTCCCCCACTATACCTATTAGACCCTGTGGGCCTGCCTGAAAGCCCCCTATCTAAAAAAACGACGACCCTAAGACATTTTGCATGACTGTGTTCCTGCCATGTGCCAGGGACACCTGGGTGTTTGAATCCCAGTGAGTGAGGAGGCATGTGTGCGAGGTAGTGTGCAATAGTGGTTAAGGGCATGGTGGGTCCAGGTGGCCAGTTTCTAGTTATGTATCCCTGGGCAGGTGATGTAACCACTCTGCCTCAGTTTCCTCACTGGTAAAATAGGGATGATATGTTCTCATTCATAAGTGGGAGTTGAACAATGAGAACACGTGGATACAGGGACAGGAACATCATACACTGAGGCCTGGTGGGGGTTGTGAGGCAAGGGGAGGGAGAGCATGAGGACAAATACCTAATGCATGTGGGGCTTAAATTGATAGATGCAGCAAACCATGGCACATGTATACCTGTGTAACAAACCTGCACATTCTGCACATGTATCCCAGAACTTAAACGAAAAACAAAATAGGGATGATAATAGTAATGCCCACCTTCTGTGGTGTTGTGAGGGATTAATGAATTAGTATCTATAGCACCCTGGGAAGTGTGGGCCATGACCATTTCCCCCAATGACTGGGGGTGGAAATGGAGGCCAGGGGGTCTATGTCACATCCCCAACATGGCTAGAAGATGACTGGGCTGGAGTTTGAACCTAGGTTTTCTTAACTTTGAAGCAGAGGCACTTTCTAGTCTGACACACGCTGTCTCCTTTTCGGGAGCTTCCTGGAGACATGACATTTAAGCTGGGAGGAGGCAGGATGCTACCTGAGACGCTCCACAGGCAGTCTGGCCGAGGCGTGGCAGCTGGGAGCTGCTTGTCAGTTTATAACCATCCCTCCTGGCTGCCATCCAGTAGAGAGTGGGGCCCTGGAGTTTGGGGCCCAGAAGATCACCTATCTTGGGGAGCAAGAACGTAAGAGGAGAGATCTGGAGGAGTGGGAGAAGAGATGAGAGCTGGATCCCAAGAGGCAGGGAGGAGGTAGGTGTATGTTTTGTGTCCCCTGTTCCAGCATCTCGCCCAATAAGACCCATTTCTGAAACAGCCAGAGAAACAGGTGCTTCAGGAGCTCCTGACGGATGCAGCCCCGAGCGAATGAAGGGTGTGAACACCAGGGTGGGAGAGACAGAGACGGGAGGTTCCAAGCCAAGGAGAATCACACTTACTGAAAGTTCAGAGCCAATAAAATGCAGTTTAGGGAATGACATGGTTCCTACCTGTCAGCCTGCCAAGGTGCCTGAAAGGGGAGGCAGCAGGTGCAGGCAGGAGAGAGGCCTGAGGAAAAAGGATATCAGCATGTCAAATGCTGCTCAGAGTCAGGTCACATCCAGGGCTCCCATAGGATCTCCCTGGAAGCATAGGATGAAGCTTCTGAAGTGGCTTGAGCCACACCAGCATGAGGAAGAGGAAGTGCACAAATGCAGCTCGGCTTACCCAGGGCGAATCTGAATGCTTGCAAGTAGCGAGGGGTACCCCACAGGCTGCTCCCAAAGGTCATTTGGCAGGACGCCCAGGAAGGCTTATTAAGCTGAAAATGCCCTTAGCGGCTTCTCTGCTCTCTGCACTCCTAAATCCTCCCACTTCTCCTGAGTTGCTGCTGTGGCCAACAGCAGAGGGTCTTCAGATGCCAACTCAGCCTGCAGAAAAGTGAGAAGTTCAGGCAAGCAGTGAAAAGTGTTGCGAGAATAAATATGCAGACTCCTGTTTTTTTCAAAGCCCCACCTGCTGTGGGTTTTGATGGAATCAACCAATTGTCTTGACCTGGAAACACCTATCCAGCTCTGGGGAGGAAGCCAAACAAGAGAAACTGCAGGGGCTGGAGGGAAGGTGGAGGGAAGATGAGGAGCAGAGACAGAGGGAGGGGACAGTGCAGGGGTTGACAGGGGAAGAATTCAAGTTTTCTATAAGTACAACCTGACTGTCTTTACTTCCATGCACACACTGGGGAGCTTATGTTTAGCACCCTGCAAGTGGGGTTGGGGCATCTATTTATTATTGGGTAAGGCAAGTCATTGGGTCCCTGTGACTGGGCCCTCCAGCATTTGGGATACCTGGGGCATGAGGTTCACTAAATAAGTGTGAATAAATAGGCCCTCACTGCTTCTGAGCACTCAGGTTCCCTCTCAAGGCGCTTGCTTTGCAGTGTTGGGGTCCCCTGCTTACCCTCTTCCTTCAGGGAACTTTATGTCTGGCTGTGGGTGTGTGGCAAGTCATTCCAGAGAAGGCACCTCTCTTAGTGTAATACAAAGTGAAATCCTTCCTGGCTGATCTGGAGGATGGATACTGGTCTGAGTGGCCTTTCTGGTTGTGCAACCAGAATGAGCAAGTACTTGCAGTATTAACTCATTCCATCCTCACTGCAACCCTTTGAAGGTGGCACTGCCATTGTCATCCTTCTAATACAGTATTGGAGCTGGGGGTGGCTGCAGTGAGTTACCCCAGGTAGCTCCACTCCTCAAGAGCAGAGCAGGGATTTGAACCCGAGCCAGCTGGCTCTAGGGTTGAACGCTCAGCAGCATGCCATACCAGCTCTCCCAGGGCAGCTCGGTGTGTACGGGGGAGAGATTTCAGCAGTCGATGTGATACTTTGCAGAGCTCCCCATGGCATGACAATACTGAATGGTGGCAGCCTAGCCTTTGCTTGAACACATGCAGTGACAGCCTACTCATTACTTTGCCAGGACACGAGAGCCATCCATCTTCCTATGGTTTGGATTCTGGGAAAAGTCATTTGGAAGTTGAGCTCCTGTACCTTCTGCCCTGGCTTTAGTTCTGGAGCCACTGAGAAGAGCCCCATCCCCTTTTCCAGACACTCTCAGATATCGGCACATCACGCTCCTCCGTACCCCTGCCTGCAGCTTTCGATTGAACAAGCTTGTGGGCCCCTGGCCCCCTTAGCCCTTTTACTTTTTCAGCCACTGTCCCCCAGCCCCTCACCTATCAGGCTCAGACCAGCTGGACACAACCTGATGTACCAACTTCCTTCTCAGCCTGCTGTCCCCAGGGTTGGGTGGGGTATTCCAGGTGTGACCCTGTCACTCCTGGTCCTTGCAGTCCTCTGTAGGATGAGGGATTAACTCAGGGGGGTCTGACATTCCAGGCATCTGTGGTGCAGCCACCCACCCCCTGTCCTGACCCTGTCTCCTGTGCTCCATCCCCACCCCTGGTGTTCCCCTGGAGGTGCGCCCAGGCCCAGCAGTTGCCTGTGTTGGAGGTGAATAGCAAGGACAGCAGCAGGTAACGCAGGGGCTGAAGCAAGGGGAAGCCAGATGTGCTGAACCTGAAGCTTGGGATGAGAAGGGCTCACTACTGGCTACTCTGCCTTCACAGTTCCTCTCTTTCCATTGGGGAATTCCTCTGAGAGCAGCACACAGCCTCTTTTTTTTTTTTTTTTTTTTTTTGAGACGGAGTCTTGCTCTGTCACCAGGCTGGAGTGCAGTGGCGCGATCTCGGCTAAGTGCAAGCTCCAGCTCCTGGGTTCAAGCGATTCTCCTGCCTCAGCCTCCTAAGTAGCTGGGACTACAGGCGCACGCCACCATGCCCAGCTAATTTTTGTATTTTTAGTTGAGAAGGGGTTTCACCATGTTGGCCAAGATGGTCTTGATCTCCTGACCTCATGATCTGCCCACTTTGGCCTCCCAAAGTGCTGGGATTATAGGTGTGAGCCACTGCACCCAGTCACACAGCCTCTTAAATTGTTAATTAAATGGAAAAACACTTGGCTCCATTTCTCTGTGGTTTCTGTTACCTGAGCAGATGTGGAAGGAGGGGGCATTGTGTTTTCTCAGATGCACCCAGCCTATGACTGCCTGTTTCCCCAGCCCACATGCCTTGGGGAGCCATGTTGGCTTGGCAGGTGGGGTTCTGCAGGCAGGATGAGGAGATGTGTGGCAGGTGAAAAACTGAGGCCCACACATGTGCTTTAGGTGCCCAGGGGCCCATGATCACCCAATGTGATGTTCTAGAAAGAGAAATCCGCCAGTGGGAATTCCAAAGGAAGGGACTGGCTCCAGGTTACAAGTCTGTCCCTCTGCTCCAAAGTGGACACTGTGGCTGGTGAGGACCCAGCTGCGGGTAGATGACTAACTCCCAGCATTAACTACAGAGATGAGTAAAGTGATGGTTTGCAAGGTGCATGCAGGGTGGAGGGATGTCCTGGTGCAGTTCCTGGGTGGGACAAGGTAGGAGCAGCACCATTTTTAAGGCTATCAGGGCAAGGGAGGGGATGTCACCTCCTCTGATTTAGGTCTTGGCTCTAGCTCAGAGCCTGCTGCAGTATCTGCAGGCTGAGTCCAGCCTCCAAGGACACAGGCAGCTGGGCCCGCCCCAGATAGGATCTGGAGAAAGCTCTCCCTTCAGTTCACCAAGTGATAGGAAGAACAGTAGGGACCTAGGAAGGAGGACTAATGGGACGGGGGAAAGGGCCTCATTTTTGAAACACACTCATCATCCTCCTCATCATCATTATTATCATCATCATCATCTCATTCAACTTTCCAAATACAGAGATAAGTGTATTACTTTGCTAGGTCTACCGAAACAAGAACAGGTGGCTTAAACAATGGAAATTTATTTTCTCACTATTCTAGAGGTTACGAGTCCAGACCAAGGGGTCGGCAGGGTTGGCTTCTTTTGAGGCCTCTCCTCTTGGCTTGTAGGTGGCCTTCTTCTCCCTCTGTCTTCTCATGATCTTTCCTCTGTGTGTCTGTGTCCACAGTTTTACTTCTTGTAAGAATACCAGGCATATTGGATTAAGGCCCCATATATATGACATCATTTTACCTTAATTATTTCTTCAAGAATCTTATCTCCAAATACAGTTATATTTCTCAGGCACTTGGACTTGGGATTTCAACATACTTATGAATTTTGGCCATATTCATCCTATAACAATAAGTAAAGCACAGGTTGTCCTCACTTTACAGCTAAAAAATTAAGGTAGGGACAGAAGTGGCTTGTCTGGGGTGATTTGCATAGGGATGAAGAAGTGGAAGTGGATTTACCTCTAAATGATAGGTCCAGCCCAGGACCCTGTGTTTTTGTCCTCTGGCAGGAGCAATGTTGGTAGACTCTTGAGTGGGGGCCTCTCCTTTCTGCCTATATCACCTCATGATGGAAACCCCTGCTTATACTAGACGTTATTGGATGCCAATGGCTGTCTTTCAGGTGGGTGTCCTTGCTCTACCTGTAACATCAGGGGCTCTTTAAAAATGGGACTGAGACTCTTCCCTCCAATGAAGGGCTCCCTGGGACTGAACTTCATTTCCCCATCTGGAACCTCCCCTAAAAGAGTGACAAATTGCAGAAAGATGGCCTGGCAACATCTGGGTGACCTTTGCTTAACACATTTATAGGTTCTCCTGATTTTCCCTCCCTTTATCTTTGCTGCCTGCTCCTTGGGGTGATCTGGTCGTCTTGTCTCAAGGTCATAAAATATCCAAACATCAGATGGGAATGGACCTGCAAAGGTCATCCCACTTATTACATCTCCTGTATTCTCTTGCAGAGAATTATCCCATGATTTCAGACCCCAAAGAAGTGCTCAGTGGCTAATGAGAAAGACAGTTGGTAGCTGACAGCCTCAAGTCTTCCCTTGCTGTACCACTTTCTCTTTCTCGCCATATTCTAAGTAAGCCCTGTTAGACTGTAGGGCCTTAAGAGGATTGCCTTTTGTCACCACTACTGCCTTATTCTGCCAGTTACCATCTCCACCCCTACAACCTTTTCTTTTCCAGGTTAAAGCTTCCCTTCCCCTCCAGGAACCTACCTGAGGGCTGCGGGGGCAAGTTAGAGGTCACTGCTGTTCTTCTCTGGGTGGACAGTGTGAGCCCACTGCTGCTCCACCTTTGTTCCATCCCATCCTGCCCTCCTTACTCCTGGTATTGGGGGGCATCTCTCCAGTCTCCAAATTCCCAGAAATTTGATCCTCTTGGGAATATCCTATGATGTTTGAGGATCCTGAAGCTGTCAGGTATCAGATCTGAATCAAATCCTACATGGGTCAGGAAAGCCCAGGTTTTTGTGGTCAAATATCTCCCTGGTTCCTCCAATTAATTAATATCCTATGTTGGATTTTCCCAGAAGTAAACCAAGTCAGGATCTGAGAGTAAGTAGTTTATCTGGGGGTGACTTCAAGAGGCATTGATAGAGAAGTAGGGAAGTGAGAGCAGGAAGGGCAAGAAGCCAATATAGGGCTGCTCATAAGCAAGTCACTGATTTGAACACCTGAGACTCAGGTTTCCTGGAGACTTCCAGGAGTGCATTAGTTTCCTGTTGCTTCTGTTAATTGATAGCTTAAAATAACAAATATATGATTCTACAGTTCTGTAGTTCAGAAGTTCAAAATGGGTCTCATTAACTAAAATCAAGGTACTGACAGAGCTACATTCCTTTCAGGGGGCTCTAGGGTAGAATCTGTTTCCTTGCTCTTTCCAGCTTCTAGAGGCTGCCCATACTCCTTAGCTTATGGCCCCATCCCTCAAAGCCAGAAACAGTGGGTCTAGTTCTTCTCACCTCCTTCCCTCTTTCATGTTTAAGGACCCTATTGATTACATTGGATGCACCCAGGATAATCCAGCATAACATTTACTTTACAATCTGCTGATTAACAACTTTAATTATATCTGCAACCTTAATTCCTCATTGTCACGTAACCTCACATATTCATAGGCTCTAGGGATGAGGATGTGGACATCTATAAAGGGCCATTATTCTGCCTACCACAAGAAAATGTGTAGATTATCTCTGAGAGTTGTCCTACTCAAAGAGTGAGAAGGCTGGGTTGCTTATTCACCAGCTCCCATCCGAGATTGGTTTGGAGTAGGGGGTGAGTAACCCTTCTGCATTTCTGACCTGTTTTCCATAGCCTACTGACTCTTGTGACCACAGAAGGCAGAGTCACATGTGCTTGGGGCAGGAAGCCCTCAGAATGCATGGGAATGGTGGGCATTGAGGGGTGTGGGTAAGACACCCAACAGAGTCTGTTTGTCTTAGTCCGTTTGTGCTGCCATCACAGAATACCTGAGAGTGGATAATTTATAAGGAACAGAGATTTATTTCTTACAGTTCTGGAGGCTGAGAAGCCCAAGGTCAAGGGGCTTGCATCTCACAAGGGCCTTCTTGCTGCATCATCCCACAGCAGAAGTGGGAAGGGGAATGGACAAACTCATTCTTTTATCAGGAACCTGCTCCCACCATAACTGCATCAATTCATCATAACCTAATCACCTTAAAGTTCCCAACTCTCAACATTGTTGCATTGATGATTAAGTTTCCAACACATGAACTTTGAGGCATACATGCAAACCACAGCACTCCTTTAACTAATTCATCTATTGATTCATCAGAAATATGAATGGTTAGGCCATGTTTTTTACCAGATCCTAGTGAGAAAATGATGAAAAACACACCAGTCCTTGCTTTGGAGGGTTTCACAGTCTAGTGGAAAGAATAGACCCATATGAAATCATTATAATGCAGTGTGGTAAGGGTAGTGATAGAAACCTGAGCTGCGCATTGGTGGAACACAGTCTAGAATAGGGATAAGAGACAGATCAGAAACGACATACTGCAGCGTAAAGTCTGAGTTAACACTGAAGGACGTTAGGAGTTGGCCAGATAAAGGCAGGTCATTGTTCAAGGTGGAAAGGAGGCATGAGCAAATACACATAGATAAGAAATGGTGTGATTGCATGAGCCCAAGAGTTCAAGACCAGCCTGGGCAACATGGTGAAGCCCTGTTTCTACAAAAAAATGCAAACATTTAGCTGGGCACAGTGGTGCATGCCTGTAGTCTCAGCTACTTTTGAAGCTGAGGTGGGAGGATGTCTTGAGCCCAAGAGGTTGAGGCTGCAGTGAGCTGTGATCGTGCCACTGCACTCCAGCCTCGGTGACAGGGTGAGACCATGCCTCAAAAAAAATAAAATAAAATAAAATAAAAAAATAAAGAAAAGAAAGAAATAGTATGATGCATGCAGGGAAATGCAGGTAACATAGAGTGGAGTAAGTATCCCTGCTTGCTTAAAACACTGGGCAGAGAAGGGTAGAGATTCTGCTAGAGAGTTGAGCAGGAATGTGGTTGTGGGACACTAGCACCCATTGGAAGATGTTCAAACACCATCTTGGAGCAAATGGGAAACGCTTGAAGGTTTTGAGCCAGGAAAGAACGTAGCCAGAGTAATATCATTGTTAGGTCCCTCTGTCCACAGAGTGGAAAATGGATATGAAATACTGAGACTAGGAGCAGGGGAGATTAGTCAGGAGCTATTGCAGCAGTCCAGGGAAGAGATAAAGAGCTTCCAAATTAGCATTCTGGTTGCAGAGGTAGAGAGAGATCCAACGGCAACTCTGTTTGTAGATAAAATACTAT